CAGCGGGTCCCCAAGCCCCAGGGCTGGCCAGGGGAAGCCAGAGCTGGGGCTGAACCAGATTTTGAGGATCCTGCTTCCCTCGCAAGCCATTCTGGGGCCTTGTGGTAAGAGTGGTGCAGGCAGAGGCCCCGGGTGCGGGGGGAGAGGAGCCCACCCTCTGTCCCCGCAGCCCCCGGTGCTGCACGTGGATCCGGCACCGTGTGAGACAACCGGAGCCCTGCGTCCAGCTGAAAGCCAAGCCAGGAGTGACCCCGATGGCAAGACGATAATGTAATTCATCTCCCAGACCTTTAAAGGTCACGCTGCGCTGGCCCCCGGCCGGAGCCCCGGCACGGCCCCGCTGCCAGAGCTCCCGCCGGCCCCCGGCTTCCCCCGGCCAAATCTGGGCAGCTCTCGCCGGCGCCCAGAAAGCCGATACCCGCCGGGAGCCAGGTTTAAAAATACCCAGTGTGGGTCCAGCCCTGGCACCCACGGTGTGGCACAGGCCCCACTCCCGGTGTCCCAGTGGGGTTTGTGCCCGTCCAGCTGGGCTCAGAGGGTGAGTTCAGTGGAGACGGTGACCCCCCCTGAATGCACACGAGGGGACCTGAGGCCACGCTGGGGACACGACCCCTGGGGACACTGGTTCTTTGCCTTGCCTGCATGCAAATCCTGGCAGATGCAAAGCCCCGACCCTTCCCGTGGCCCTGCTTATTCGAACAATTTTCCCCTTTCCCGCGTGCTGGTGGCGTTTGGGGTCCCCTCTGCCATGACCTCCCCAGGGACCGGGCACAGATTCCTGCAGCAGCCCCCGCGCTGCCCACGGCCGGGCACTAATTGCAGATTCCTCATTTGGGAGTGCAGGCAGTTGCCCGTGCCCAGCCCGGAGGCTGCTGCCTGCACGGGCGGGTGGCAGCCGCTGGCACCGAGCCCCGGGAGGGCGAGAGCAGCCGGTGGCACCGGGGGCGGGTAACGCTGCCCACAGCCCTGCCGGCACCTGCTGCCCAGCCTCGCCGGAGCGGCCGCTGCCAGGTCTGCGTGGGCAGCGGGGGGTTTGCCTGCAGGGGGCTTGCCTGAACATCCCCAACCGCGCTGCCAGGTCCTGATGCTGCCTGCACATCCCTGCTTGCACTGCCAGGTCCCTGGTGCTGCCCACATGCTGTTCCTGCCCGGTCCTGCCCACTCTGCTCTGGGATCCCAGGGTGATGTCCGGTACGGGGTGATTGTGCCCCCCGCAGCCCCCAGAGCCGCGGGTCTCCTGGCTGCAGCTGGACCCGGTTTTGGGTGCCGGGATGAGGAATCCAATCCGGTACCCCATAGCCCAAGAAACTCCTCCAGACCCTCTTCACAAAGGAGCGGTGTCAGGCTCTTCCCGGGACCCCCAGGACCGGGACCCCTCTCTCTGCCGGTTCCCGCCGGGTGCGCATCCCCCTAGCTGCTCCCGGTGCCGCCGGGACTCCGGATCCAGTTCTCCCAGTGCCACGCGAAACGCCCGACTCGGCTCCCCCCCGGTGCCACCGGATACCCCCGAGGGTCAGCCCCGCGCGGAGCACACCGCCCGGTCCCTTCCACCGGGATCCCCGACACTCCCCGGTGGCACCGGGAGTTCCTTCCGCTGTGTCCTTCGGACACGCGACCTCCGGTTCCCCCCGGTGCTACTCGACCCCATGCACCTTGCAGGACGTCCCATGCCCTGAGTCCCCGGTGCCACGGGGGATGCCCGACCCGGATCCCTCCGGTGCCGCCCGGGACGCTCGACCCGGATCCCCCCGGTGCCACCTGGGACACCCGGTCCTCCTCATCCCGATGCCACCGGGACACCCGACCCCGTGCACCTCTCGGTGCGCTCACCCTCGCCCCCGCTGCCCGCGGGACCCCCCGCCCACGGTGCCCCCCGCCCGGTGCCCGCATCCCGGTGCCGCCCGTACCCGGGTGCCGGCGCGGCGGCGCTCCGGTCCCCGCTCCTGCCGCCGCCCCTCCGCGGGCTCCGCCGGGCTCCGGCCCCGCCACTACTTTCTCTTAAGCGCTCGGTGACGCGCGGGGCGGTGCGGGGCCGGTGACGCACGGGGGGGGCGGCCCCGGCGGGGGCGCGGCCGTGACGCACGCGGGGTTCCATTGACGCACCCGCGGCCCCGGCTAAAAATACCCCCGCGGCCCCGGCTAAAAATAGCGCGGGCGCCCCTCGCCCTCCCCCCCCCACACACATCCCCCCTCCGGGGCTCCCGGGGCCGCCGGCGGGGGGAGGGAGGCCCCGGTGTCGGGGGTATCCCCGGTGCCCCCAGCGCCGGTGCCCTTTCGGTGTCCCCGGGGCTGACATCCCCGGTGTCTCCATCCCCGGTGCCCCCTCGGTGCCGGTATTTCCGGTGTCCCCTCGTTGCTGGTACCCCGGTGCCCCCGTCCCCGGAACCCCTTCGGTTCCGGTATCTCCGGCACCGTTCTCCCCGGTGCTCCCCGGTGCCACTCCCCCGTGCTCTCCCGTACCCCCGGTGCCGTTATGCCCGGTGCCCATCTGAGCCGGTATCTCCGGTGCTCAGCGGCGCCGGTACCCCCGGTCTCCTCCCGCTCGGTGCCCGGGTGCGGGGAGGGTGACGCGGGGTCCCGCCCCCGCCCGGTCCCCGCGGGGAGCCCCTGGCCGGGCCGATGGAAAGAGCGGCGGCTGCTGGCGAGCGCCGGCGCCGGGAACAGCGCCCGCGGGCTGGAAAGATGAGCTCAGCCCGTGCGGGGCCGGGCCGGGCCCACGGGAGGACGAGGGGTGGGCGGAAGGGACCCAGTAACCCCAATACCCTCGGTACCGCCCCGGTATCTCCCTACCCGGTACCCTCCGGTACCGCGCCGGTACCCCCCGAGCCCTCCGGTACCAGCCCCCTTCCCGTACCCTCCGGTATCCCCCTCGCGGCAGCCCCGTTAGTGAGGGGTTGGCAGAACCCGGGCTTGGCAGCCCCGTTAGTGCCCCCCGTTAGTGCCCCCCGCAGCGGCAGAGCTCCTGCCGGGACCCTCCTTGGTTTCAGGGGACCCCCCGGCCCCGCCAGGAGCTGCGAGGGGCAGAGCCAAGCACCGGAGGGGCCCGGGGGGGCGCACCGGGGTAGCGGAGATGGCTGCTCGGGGCCGGGAGCCGTCGCTGCCCGTTACCTCGTCCCGGCCCCGGGCCCCGCTGTCTCCCGCCCCCGACGGGGCTCCGTGACATCACACCTGCCCGCTGACGTCACACCTGCCCGCTGACGCCTCGGGGATCCCGCGGCACCAGCGGGGCCTCCCCCGCGGGGATCCCCTGGGCCCGGGGGGACCCACCGGGGTCCCCGAACCCAGGGAGCTGCACAGCCGGTACCGGGACTGCAGCCGGTGCCAACCCTGGGCCACGGCCAGGAGTCCCCGGGACGGGGTCAGGCCGGGGGACACCGGGCTGTCGGGGGTCCCAAAGCCACGGGGGGCACGGGGAGTGGCGGCTGCAGCCCCCCGCACCCCTCGCTCAGCAGCGGCGTTGCCGGAGGCAGGAGGCTGACATCGGCAGCCCCCGCACGCGGGATTAGCTGTACCCCGGGAGAGGCCGCGGGGACCGGGATGGCTCCGGGGAAGGAAACCCGAGCCAAGCCACCCTGGCAAGGCCACGGAGCTGCAGGGGAGGACCCCGGCTCACACCAACCCTGGGGTGCCGGCTCCATCCCGACACCCAGCTGGGGACAAAAGGGACGCTGCGGCCACCAGCCAGCCCTTTCTGAGCCCCAGGGTGGGGGTCGGGGCTCGCAGGGTGCCCTTGGCGGGGCAGTGATTACTGGGTGCCCAGGGCTGGCACTGGCTCCCTGCCCTGGGCCTATATTTGTCGGTAATGACAGGCTGCTCCGGGGCGTTCCCGGTCCGTACCCCGCGGCCTCAGCCCCCCGTGCCTGCCCGGCTCAGCTCAGCCGGTGCCACGCGTGACCCTGGTGTCCCACTGCCACCTGCCCATTCCTGGGCACACGCAGCCCCAGGTCCGGGCTATAAAAAGCTCGGCGTGGGGTGGCAGCTGCGGCGGGGGGTCCCGTGATGGCCGTGACAGGGACGGGGTGCTCCAGCCCTGGCACTGAGTGGGAGAACGCCGTGAGCCGGGGCTGCCGGAGCCAGACCATAAATGTCCAAGAACGGAGCCGTCCTGGAACAGGGACAAGGCAGGAGAGTGGCGGGGAGCCAGCTGGGCCCCCCACCCCACGGCACACACGGCACCCACGTGCACCTGCGGCCTTGGGGGTCTCACCCCCCCCAGATCTCCAGCAGATCCCCCCTGGGATCCTGGGGGTTGGGCCTGAGCCACAGGACACTCGAGGAGCTCAGAACTGGGGCTCCCCGGGGCTCCCCACACACACAGTGACCCAGCCAGAGGGGAAACTGAGGCACAGAGGGTTGGGGGCTCTCAGTGCTCCCCGGAGAGCTCGGGAATCCTGGGGCAGGGGAATCCCCTGCGAAGGAATCCTTGTGCAGGGCAGGCCCTGTGCGCTCGCAAGGAGGGGTTCTGTGTCCCCCAGTTCCTCTGGCTGCTGCTTCAGTGGGATGGGGGGACACTGAGGCAGGGACTGGGGGGACCCCAGTGCCCGTCCCGCGTGGGCACCCCGTCCCCCTCAGGCGGAAGGGCTCGGGGTGGGACCTGCTTCCCGCCAGCTGCCGGAGGAAACGGGGCAGGAAGGGCCTGGCCGGGGCCCTGCAGCGCCGGGGGCTGCGGCGGGTAGGGGGACACAGAGGGTCCTTGGGAACCCACGCAGGTCCAAGGTTGCCAGCCTGGAGCTCGATGGCAAAGGGGGCAGAGCAAGGACTGAGGGGGGGCTGCAGCCTGGTGGGCTCCCCTGCGGGACACAGCCCCCCCAAGCCAGCCCACCCCACTCCCCACGGGGCTCTGTGCCCCCCCAGTCACAGTCACAGGTCGCTGCAAAAAGTCTCTGTATTGGCGAGCGCTGGCGCGGTACAACAGCCCCGGGGGGGAGGGGGGCAGAGCCCCCACAGCCCCCCAAACGTGGGGGACGCAGGGCCCCCCCAGTGGGGGCAATTCTATTCCTGAGAGCAGCAACGGCATTGTGAGCCGCTTCAGGAGCGTCCCCATGTCCGTTCCTCAGTGTCACGTCTGTCCCTCGCTGTCAGGACCCCCACGGCCCGGGGGGTCCGAACCAGGACCCCTGGGGCCAACCCAAACCTCCTTCCCCCGGCTACGGGGGGAAGAATCCCCTCAGAATAAATAAATAAATAGTCCTGGGGGTTGGGGACCCCCCGGCTAGAGGTGACTCTCCTCCTCCTCCAGCGCCCGGTTCAGTCCCGGGATGAACTTGAGCAGCCGCCGGCGGAAGCTGCTGTGTCGGCCCTTGCGGGGGGCGGCCGCCCCCTCCATGGGGTCCCCGGCCCGGGCCCAAAGCCGCCCGGCGGCCCCCACGCCCCCCGCACACTTGAGGCTGGCGCTGCGGGCCAGGACGGGCCGGGGGCGCGGCGGGGGGGGCGCGGGACCCCCACTGTCCCCATCCTTGTCCTTGTGCCCATCCTTGTCCTTGTGCCCATCCTTGTCCTTGTGCCCATCCTTGTCCCCGTCCAGCGAGTCGGCGGAGGCGAAGACGCAGGTCTGGTACAGGGAGTCGTCGCTGCCGCTGGCGCGGGGGGAGCCCCCCGGCAGCCCCCCCTCCCCCTGCAGGCACCAGCGGATGGACTCCAGCGTGTCGTAGATGCTGGGATCCTTGGCCACCACACCTGACGGGGGACACACACGGGAGGGGCGTCAGGGGGGCCAAGGGGGTACCCCAAAGCCCCCGCCCCCCACCCCAACCCCTACTCACCCCGCACCAGCCGCTGCTCCTGCACCATCAGCGAGCGATACTCACCCCACTTCTCATAGAGCGTTTGCTGTGGGAAGGGTGTTGGGGGTGAGGACCCTGCAGGGGGGGATCCCCAAACCCCCCCCAAGGACCCCCCTCTCACCTTCAGGTACTGCAGCCGGGCTTCCAGCTCTGCCCTCCGGATGGACGTCCCATAGAGCGTGTCGAGCCTGTGGGGCAGCAGCCGTCAGTGGGGAGGGGGGCTGGGGCCCCCCAGGACCCCACTGCACCCCCCCCAGCTCACCGGAGCACGTTGCCCGAGCTCTTGATGATCTCCACGATCTCCCGGTGCCGGACGCCCTCCACGTTCAGCCCGTTCACCCCCGTGATCGTGTCCCCTAGAGCGGGGGGCGAGGGGGTGGGCTCAGGGCGGAGGGTCCCCACTGTCAGGGTCCCCCCGGCCCCCCCGGGGTGTGCTCACCAGCCTTGAGCCCCGCGGCCTCGGCTGGGCTCCCGCCGTGCACCCGGCACACGAAGGTGAACATCTCCACACTCTTCCTGTCCTGGTGGTGCAGCCCGTAGGTCTGGAATGGGGGGGGGGGCTGGTGAGGGACCCCCCTCTAAACCCTCTGGGTCCCCCAGAGCCCCAGTACCCCCAGCAGCAGCCACTGCAGTGTTTAATTGCCGCTGGGTGATGGGGGGCAGCCCCCCAGCCCTGGGGAGGGGGGTCTTGCCCCGATGGCTGAGCCCCAGCGGGGCCCCCCCCTGGGCTGCCCCTGCGGGCACGGTCGGGGGAGCTTCGGTAACACGGCGGTTCCATCACTGCTAAAAATAACCCCTGGCTCAGAGACAACTTAAAAATACCCTCGATGCAAAGCAAGGTGCGGGCTGGAAGGGTGGGGAGCGGGGCACGGCACGGCTGAGCATGGCACAGCTCAGCTCAGCTCAGCTCAGCTCAGCTCAGCACCCACCTGGATCTCGAAGCCGAAAGACTCCTCCGCCTTCTTCTCCAGGGTCACCACCCTCCTGGGGGACAGGGGGATCAGGGACAAGGCAGAGCCCCCTGGCAACCCCCAACCCACCTGCACAGGCCTTGGGCCCTTCTCAAAACACTGTTCTGGGGACCACAAGGACAGGACCCCCCCCTCCCCAGGATGGGACCCCCCAGTTGGCATGTCCAGCACCAGGAAGGGTCCCCACAGGGTTTGGGGACATCAGGGCCCTCCAGGGAGTGTGACCCCATCGCTGCTCTTGGGTTTCCCCATAAAATCTCCCCCATTTCCAGTCTTCCTGGGGTATCCAGAGTGGAACAGCATCCCAGGGACCCCAGGCCCACCCCTGTGCCCCCATCCCTACCTGTGCTCCTCTGGGGACTGGCTGGGGGACGCCCACCTGAACCCCGTGTCCTGCGGCAGAGGAAGAGCCATCAGTGGGGGACACCCCGGGGGACATTCCCCCCCCTCCCCCGTCACCCCTTCCAGGGACAGCCTAAACGGGGTGTCCCACCGAGGCAGCACCAAACCCCCGGGGAACGCCGTGCCAAGCCGGCACCGAACCAGCCCCCGGGAGCCCCCCCAGCCCCGTGGCCCCCCCGGGCTGGGTGGGCATAACGGGGCTTTGATCGGTGCTCAAAGGCACCCTCAGAGCTGCCCCGCGCTCGCCCCACGCTTTGACGTCAACCACGCCGCGCCCACCCCACGCCGCGCTCGGGGGGGGGGTGGGGGGTGGCCCAGCACAGAGGGGGCCCTGTTGTGGTCACAAAGTCGGGTTTTTTCATGCAAAATTCCCCCCCCTCCCGGCCCAGACAATGCCCCTGTTGTGGCGGGCGCGGAGGCGTGGGCGGGCGGAGGGGCCGGCCGGGCATAGCAGGACCCTCGCCGCGGGGCAGGAGGTGACAGGGCTGTCCCCAAATGCCCCTCCGCGGCCCGGTGTGAGTGGCCTCGACAGTGGCACGTGGAGCCTCTTGGTGGCACCGGCTCCCCTCCGCGCCGTGCCACGTGGGTGCCACCGGCCCCGCAGGTGTCACCGGATGGTGGCGGGGCTGTCCCCAAACGCATCCGGGGGGGCGTTTTAAGTGCAAATCCACCCGGATCGGGTGCTTCTGTCACAGGGAAAGTTGCCGCCCATCACTTCGGGTCCCACGTCACGGCAGTGACAGGATGGTGACGTGGGAGGTCCCAGACCCCTTGGGGACGTCTCCGGTGGTGGCCTTGGCCGGTGAGTGGGAGCCAGGCCACCGCGCGTGAGCCGGGCCGTGCCAGCGCGGCCGCCAGGCCACTTCTGCTCCGGATGTCGGCTCCGCTCTCGCTTCCCCACCACGCTCAGGAAGCGCCGCGGGGCCGGGGGGAGCGCCGGGGCGGTGACAGTCCCAGCGCCACCGCAAGAGGCTTTTCCAGGGGCGTGGGGGCAGAGGGCCCCGTGTCCAACCAAACCTGAGTGGGGTACCCTGTGCCCTGTCCCCCCATCCTCTCCAAAGCAGAGCCGGGGGACCCTGTGCCCCGTCCCCCCTGCCCTCCCCGCGCAGCAGAGCCCAGGGGGGCTGTGGGGACAAGCCTGCCCCGATGACAGGGCCACGTACACCGGGGTGGGGGCCTGGCCCTGCGCCCCCAAAACTGCAAGGTAGGGCATGGGGAGGGAACAGGACAGGACGAGGGGCCTGGGAGGCCGCTGTGGAACAGGGAAGATACCGGAGAGTATCGTGGGGAGGGACCTGGACAGGACGTGGGGCTTGGGGAGGACACTGGGGTGGGGGCACAGGGACAATACCGGGGCAGGACGTGGGGAGGATCCGGGACAGGATGTGACGCCTTGGGGGACAACACTGGAGCGGGCTGGGGACACTGGGAAGATGCTGGAGCACGACGGGTCCGGGGTGAGGAGATGCTGGGGCAAGGCAAGAAGCTGGGGGCGGTCACCGGGGCAGGACCGGGACACCGGGGCGGGACGGGGACACGGAGCAAAGCTTTGGGGGCTGCCAGGGAAGAACGGGGGGGACTTCGGGGCAGGACAAGAGCCCAGGAGAAGACGCCGGAGCCGCCCCCCCGGAGCAGCGACCTCGAGGGACGGGGACACCGCGCACCCCCTGCTCCCCCTCCCCTCCCCGGCCCGTTCCCGCACCGGCCCCGGTGCACAAGCGGGGGGCACCGGGATGGTTCCCCCTCCGCCCTACCTTGCGCACGCGGGGCAGGGTCCCGCCGGCCGCCGCCAGCGCCCGGTACAGCTCGGCGGGGCCGGGGCTCTCCGGGGCCGCCGCCGCCGCCACCGCATCGTCCTTCGGCCGGAGCCGCCGCCGCCGCCGCCGCAGGGTCATGGCCGGGCCGGGCCGCCCCGAGCGCCGCTATATGGGCCCTGCGGGCGGGGACAGCGCGGGACGCGCCCGTTTTCGGGGTAAAACACGCCCCTTGGTGGCTCCGATAAGCCGCGCCTTGGCGAGGGAAGCCCGGCCCCCTGCCCGGTGTCGCCCCCGCCCCGGGTCCTGCGAGGGGACCATGTGGAGGGTCCGGAGGGTCCAGCTTGGGGTCCTGGGCAGGGACCCCCTTGGGGTCCAGCGTGGGGGTCCAGGGGGGATGTCCTGCGTGGGGTCCTGCTCAGGGACCCCCGTGGGGTTCAGCGTGGTGATCTGGGGGTGCTGCTGTGGGACAGCAGGGAGAAGGGGTTGGTGGGGACCTGGGGGTGTAGGGTGGGACATTGCCGGGGATGTCACAGGTGGCACCGTGGGATGCCGAGGAGGGGTCGCAGGGATTACCTGGGGGATGATTTTGGGGAGAAACCGGTGGGTTTCCGGGCGCAGCAGCCACGCCGGGCTCTGCCGCCCCCCTGACAGCTGCCACCGCGTCCCCCCCAGGCCACCACCCGCCGCCAAAGCCGCATTTGGGATTTAACGGGAGGCAGGAGCTGGAGCAGGGACACGGAGGAGAGAACAATTCCCGGAGGCAGCCGCGGTGTCTGGTGCGGACACGTCGCTCCGGCCGCCCCTCGCTGCGCCGCGCCGGGAGGCAGCGGGAATTTTCCAGCTGGAGTTGAGAGCTTTGCCCAAATGTTTGTTTAAAATTCGCCAAAAAAAATGAAGATCGTAACAATCCCGCTGGCGTTCCACCCAAACCTCCCGCCCACAGCCCGGCCTGGGGTTACCAGGAGGCAAGTTTTCTCCTGGAATGGAGCTGCTCCGGGTTGGAAGTGCCGGGGGAAGGATGGGATTGAGCCCACCACCCCATCCTGAGGCACCAACCCCCCGGGAATGAAGAGGAACATCCATCCCATCCTGTTCCCGAAATCTGGTAATGATTTGGCCCCTTGGCTGAAGCCATCCCAGACTGTTTCCCCATCCCATTTCCTAGAGGAGTAAAGACAAATTTTGCTTAAAAAATTCCCCAAATGCTCTCATCCCACCCCTGCCTCTGTTTCCAGGACGGGGCTGGATTTTCCCAGGGACCACAGCAGGAGCTGCAGACAAAGCTGGGAACGAGGAGGGACGAGCCCAGATGGCGACTCCCCCTCCCCACCATGTCTGAGCCCGGGGGGACCCCAGGCCCCGGCGGATTTTCCCCTTGATCCGCTCACAACAGGCTCGTTTGCAGGAGGCTCTAATTAGGGAGAATTAGTGGGGGCATTTTGCGCAGCACCGGTTGCCCTTGGAGCAAACAGGATTTCACAGGGACATGGGGCAGTTTGCTCTGGGGTTTATCCCTCCTGGAAGTGGGTCTGTGTGGAGGCACAGGGATGCTCCAGGGGGATGCCCACTGTACCCCCCCATGCCCCCTCCTGCTCTGTGCCTGTCCCCAGAGAGAGAATCCTGGATTCAGCTGCTCAACCCTGTGTGGGCCAGAAATCCCACCTGCTGGAAGCTGAATCTCCACCAAAAATGGGAATATTCAACATTAAAATGTCTTGACCAGGATTCCCAGAGATCATTTCACCTGAGGGGGACAAGCTCACCCTCCCCCAGCCCCTTCTCTGGGGGCCTGAGATCTGCCCTGTGCTCTTCCCAGCCCTTCCAGTGAACTGAGAGACTCCAACACCTCACGTGAATAAAACAAACTTTTAATAATGTACAGCAGAAATCGACAGCCTGGTTTTATATTAAACAAAAGATTTCCTATCTTACACCGTATGTACATTTGCATACTGAAGAGGTAAAGTGGCTAAGTGGCTATTTTCTTACAGTCCTTTGCTAAGAAAATGTACAAAACCAAACAAATCAAAGGGGCAGAGAAGTACCAAGAGTTCTGTCCTGCAGCCGCGTACCGCTGATGGACCCCCCTCCTCGTCCTGCACCGGGCTCCCCTCGGGGACTGCCTGGAATGCTTTTTTTTCCCCAGAGCTGCTGCAAGGCCTGGAGCCAGGCAGCGATTCCTATGTGCTCCCAAGTCGGCTCGGCGAGCACTGGCACCCCCGGGCACGGGTTTGCATGAAAAGTGCTGTGTAAATGCTACATGGTCAGCGCTCCCGCCGCGGATCCCGCTTGGTTTTCCCCATCTCTCTCTCTCTCTCTCTTTCTCTCTCTCTCTCTCCCCAGCGAGGCTTTTCCCAGGGTGCTGCTCACAGGGACGCCGCCCTTCCCTCGTCCCCGCTGCCTCAGCCAGGCTGACCCGCGTGCCGGGCGCTGTTTGGTTTGGCGCTGAGGCAGGTGCATGTGTGGCTACAGTTGGAGGAGGGGGGAGAGTCAGTGCAAGTTCCGGAGCGTCCCCGGGAATGGGGGAAAATCTCCCACAAGGGATGGGAGACCCAACGGAGAGCCCGCAGTACCTACCAGTGGGGGACCTCCCTTCCTGCCCCAGCTCCCAGGGCATCCCCCTGGAGAGCCCCCAGCGCTGGGCAGTGCCCGCCACCCCCGGGGCTTCCAAACGCAGGTTCGGGGGAGAAACGGAGACCGGTGGGAACCTCTGGCTGGGACTGGAGCCAGGATAAACCGGGATGGGATGGGGAGCTGCACCCCGATCCCGCGGCAGGGCAGCGCTGCTCCAAACCCCTCGGGGGATGCGAAAGGGCTCCTAAACACGATGCAAAAACCACACTCCTCACTTTACACAAGGTCACAGACAGACAGGGGAGTCGGGGGGACACACGGACAGGGACACAGACAGCAAGAACAGAGGGACTGAAAGAAAGATTTAACCCCGGCGGCCGGAGCAGAGATGAAACCTCACCTTAGAGAGCAGGAGCAAGGTCGGAGTAGAAACAGTTCCAGTGTAAATCGAGCTGTGCATTTGGTTTTTTTTCATTTTTTTTTTTTTCTTTTTTGCAGTGATTTCTTTACAAACCAACAGGTCAAGAGGTAATAACTAGAGATTGTTTTTCTTCTCTTAGAAAGAATTAACAATATTCAAAAAAGTTAAAATCCAGACCCTCCCAGAAAATAATAATAATAATAATAATAACAACAATAACAATAATAAAAAAAAATAATAATCAAAACCACTCCAGTTAAAAGTTATGGCTTCAGAGTTCTCTACCGCAGACACTGACCTGACCCCCACACCACGACTGCCAAAATCAGCACGGCAGCCTCAGCCCTCACTTCCATGTTCACTCTTCCTCACCCGGATTCAACGCTGAATGAAAAGAAAATCCATGCAGGCCCCCCCCAAACCCACACTTAAGACACGGCCACTTCCACATCAGGAGATAATTATACACCTAGATTAAAAAGATGGACGTTGATTTCCCAACTCACACTCGCTGTCAGATCCTGCCTGGTGCCTTCGGGGGGTGCAGAGCACCCCCAGCGCTCGGCATCCTGCAGATCAGATCCCCAGAATTCTGCCTGGATGGTGGAACCTGGGAACTGTGTTCCCAGGAGAACTGCCTCCCGCTTTCCCTGCGGGGCGCAGTGCCTGCTCCACCTCTGACACGCCTCAGCTCCCCCCTACCGAGAATTACAAACCCCAGGGGCTCAAGACAAAAAAAAACAAAAACAAAAAACAAAAACCACCTGGATTCCAGGAGTGATTCTCAGTTCCTTATTCGTTTTGTCTTAAAAAAAGGGACAAGGGTGGCAGTGAGGTGACCTGGCGGGACGCGGCGCCCACCAAGGGGAGCCGAGGATCCGCTCTGCAGCAGCCTGTCCAAGCTCCACAACGCTCACAAACTCAGCACGGAGAGCACCAGCAACAGCTCACAAACGGGACACTCGAGATTTGCACATGCACAGGAAGCACGGACAGAGATGAGCCACCCACGGGGCAGACACCGCACGGCTACGGAGGAGATGACCAGGCACAGGGACACGCGCACCTCGCGCATGCAGACACCGGCGCCCCGACGGCCGCCGGGGCGCTCAGCTGGACTTCTTCAAGCTTAAGAAAAAGGAGGACGGGGGGGGAAAAACGGTTTCGTGAAGCTGATCAACTGTTCCGGCTCAGCCTCTCGGAAAGGGAGCACCATTTGTTTTTTTTTTTTTTTTTTTTTCCTTTCTCTCTGCATCAACGTGCCAGTCCCTGGAGAAAAAAAAAGTCCTCAGAGCACGGCAAGAAAAACCTTCCCTTTCCCTTCCCACTCCCGGCACCGGGCACCCCGGCCTGGCTCCCAGTCTGCCAAGGGGTACCCAGGGCACGCTGAACTTTACAGGGATTTCCTGTTACGGGAAGAAAGAGTTACTGATCATGGCTGAGATCCCTCGGGTGAAGTCCCTCTCGAGTCTCCACGCTCTCGGGAGGTGATCACAAAAGGTTTCGGATTGTTTCATACCCAAGCAGGGAAGAGAGCGGTTCCGTAGGCTCCGTCCCCCCCGCCTCGCAGCCTGCAGGTCCCGCTGTCTGGTTGTAGCAGTAGGTTGGGCTGAAACACGAGGTAGGCCTCCATCACACGTCTACTCTAGCACGGCAGCTCCTGTGCAGTTTCTTCCTGCTGAGGCTCAGAGCCTAAATTTTCACATCTTCCTGGACACTGAGCTGGGAGAGGGTTTTCTTGATGCGGAGGGCGGTGAGCCGGGCGGCTCCGTTGGCGTACCAGCACTCCCGCATCATCTTGCCCATCACCCGCAGTGCCTGGGCGAGAAACAAGGAGGGATATCAGTGCTCTGCTCTGCCCCCGGCCCCGTGTGGCTCTGCCAGGCTGCTGCTCTGCCTGGGCACTGAGACACCCTCCACGCCCCCCCAAAATCAGAGCTCAGCTCACAGCACTCACTCTTCACTCACCTCGTGGTGGGAGAATCATGGAATGGTTTGGGTTGGGAGGGACCTTAAAGATCATCCTGTCCCACCCCCTGTCCTGGGCAAGAACATCTTCCACAAGCCCAGGTTGCTCCAAACCCCATCCAATCAGGCCTTGGACACTCCCAGGGATGGGGCATCCACAGCTTCTCTGGGCAAACTGTGCCAGGGCCTCCCCACCCTCACAGAATTCCTTCCCAATATCCCATCTAACTCCACAGTGTAAAGCCATTCCCCCTTGTCCTGGCACTCCAGGCCTCTGTAAACAGTCTCTCTCCATCCTTCCTGCAGGCTCCCTTCAGGTTCTGGGAGGCCACAATTTGGTCACCCCAAAGCCTTCTCTTGGTCAGGCTGAACAATCCCAGTGAGGAATGAAATCCAACCTCACCTCGTAGCTCTGCCACCAGTTGGGGATGTTCGGCCGTAATTTCTGATCACACACGACCTTCCGCATCTCCTCGATGGAAGGATCAGAGGGCACAAGGTCGTAGTAGGGCAGCTGATACTCCTCATGGATACCTGGAAGGCAGAACAGGGGGGAAATGCAGTTCCTGGAGAAGGGATCACGGCCACAGCGCTCACTGAAGGCAGGCGGGTTTGGGCTCCGTGACTCACTGCCGAGATGCGTCAACATTTTTGCGCTTATTTAGAACAGGAATGGAGAATCTGGGATTTGGGTTTACAAGAAAAACTCGGGGAAATAAAATGCAGCTGCCCAAACTGGAACAGAGTCAGCGGGCTGGGATCAACACCTCCCAGCACAGAGCCAGGGCCACCAGATCTCAGTGGCAAGTGGGGCTGTCACACGTGGGACGGTGCTGCAGCCGCACGTGCCAAGACATCCACGTCCTTAAAAATCCATCCAGAGGAACACCAGACACCAGTGGGAGCATCAAGCCCCACGTCCCCACACTTGCCAGGCTAAGCAGCGGTCGTGGGTCACTTCTGTTCCTCCCCCAGTGGCAGCACACAGGGACACGTCCTCCCGCAGCCCTGCTCTCCCTCAAACCTCCCCAGCACCTCCCAGGGCTGGGAGACCCAGGAGCAAGCAGAGCCCCTGGCACAGGCACACAAAGGTGTTACCTCCTGCGTTGCACCTTCGGGCAATCTCCCAGTAGACCAAGCCCAAGGCGTAGATATCGGCACATTTGAATGAGTCAAAATGCTTCATGTTGATGGTTTCATCCAAGACTTCTGGGGCCATGTATCTGCAGACAGAAAGGAACACCATGGAACTCTCTGGAAGATGGCAACTGATCCGTTTTCTCACACAGCACTTCCCAGCAGACCAAACTCTGCTTGGCACAGCCACCATCGGATCAGAACTAGGCCCCGTGGTCTAACAGAGCAAAGAAAATAACTCCTAAGCAACAGCAAGCTGGGAAAAGAGGTAAAAACGTCCCCAAAACACATCAGGCTCCCAAGGGCAGGGTGGCCAAGCCTGCTGCCAGGTACTACACAAGCTCCCTGGTGCTGGGTGTAGGTGGCTGGCCCACCCCTCTCAGACTGAAGGTACTGACGTCCCTTCGGCATCAACCTGGACACAAAGCTGTCCCTGCGAGGCACTGGGCAAGGCTGAACACAGAGAATTCCCCCCAGTGCTCGACCAGCAGCTCAGGCACTTCCAGTCTCACTCTGATGCCTCTGAATGTGTTTTCCTACCGTTTGGTGCCGACCCTCTGATTCGGCGCGATATCAATCGTGTCCGTGACCGAGTCGTGCCGGACAGCCAGGCCGAGGTCAGCAATGGCACAAGTGCCGTTCTTCTTCACCAAGATGTTCTTGGATTTCAGGTCTCTGTGAGCAATCCCAGGCTTCCCTATGGGAGCAAACGAAAAAGCAGCGAGGGTCAAACCGGGGGAATCCGTCTGTCGAACTGGTGCGGAGGCAGCACCGGATTTCAGGGCGTTAAACCCGGTGTTGCAACACATTTTCCTGTTTGGATCCGTGAGGAACCGGCCAGGGCTGCGCTGGGAAAAGGCTCCCGCGGCGTTTCGGAGGCGCCACTGCTGATGCAGTGGCATCCAGAGGCCTCAAGAGGGACGTGAACTCCACGTCCCAGCCCAGGCGCGGCCGTGCCGACGTCAGGAGTTTGTGCTGGTGCTGCTGCCTGCGCTCACATCCCACCCAGGCAGCGCCAATTTTAGGACGGGATGTGAAAACGGTGATATAACTGCCGGGAGCAAGCGCCGGGATAACCCACTTCCCAGCCAAAGCAGCCGTTCTATTTCTGGTCAGTAAGGACCAGATGAAGCCGGGCTGACTCAGAGGCTCAGGCAGGGTTTGCTGTGCAGCAGCACATCAGCCCCCCTGAGCAGCTCTGCTTCATTCTGCCCTCGAGGATCCCCAGCCGGGCTCTTACCCTGAGTGCCCACGATCTCCATGTGCAGGTGGGCCAGCCCGCTGGCAGCAGACAGGGCGAGCTTGATCATGCCCTCGATGGTCACCGTGTAGCGGTTCAGGTAGTCGAAGAGGGAGCCGTGCTCGTGGTAGTCGGAGACGAGCCACAGCTGAGTCCACGTCCCGTTATCTGCAGCAGCAAAGAGAGGGGGCTCAGGCAGATCCCACACATCCTGGAGCAGCCCCCACCCTTGTGGGACAGAGCAGAGCTGCTGGATAAGGCTGCACTCAAGAGCCAGCCCGGGGCAAGTCAGGGATCAAACATGGCTCCTGTCAGACAGAATGTGGCCAGCAGGACCAGGGCAGTGACTGTCCCCTTGTGCTGGGTTCTGGTGAGGCCACACCTCCAATCCTGGGGTCAGCTTTGGGCTCCTCGCTCCCAAGAGAGACACTGAGGGGCTGGAGCGTGTCCAGAGATGGGAATGGAGGTGGGGAAGGGGCTGGAGAACAAGGAGGCTCAGGGGGGACCTTCTCGCTCTCCACAACTCCCTGACAGCAGGGTGGGGGTCGGGCTCTGCTCCCAGGGAACAAGGGACAGGCCAAGAGGAAAAGGCCCCAAGCTGTGCCAGAGGACATTTAGGTTGGATATTAGGGAACATTCCCTCATGGAAAGGGTGATCAGGCACTGAACAGGTGGCACCTTGTGAAGCCTCTGCTCCCAGGCCCGAGGCACCCCTCACCTTTGTTGTCCGCAGCGATAAACCCCAGGATGTTCTCGTGCCGCAGCATCACGGTCTGATAGATCTCCGCTTCCCTGAACCAGGAGCGCTCCTCACGGGAGGAGAAGATCTTCACAGCCACGTCACCCCCTCGCCACCTGCCCCGCCACACCTCCCCGAAGCGGCCTTTGCCGATGATCTCCTGCAGGACAATCGTCCGCGCCACGGTCCGCTGGACAAACAGCGGCAGACCTGGGGGCGAGGGATGGGCAGGAATGAATCCCCGTGGCAGCAGCAGAGCCTCCTGAGACCCCAGAGGCTGAAGAGCACCCCCAAACCCAGCAGGCTCTATGTCTGACAATAACCAGCAAGGCCAAAAGCAGGGAACGGTGGTGGCTCCTTGCGTGGGCTGTGCCACTGCTCAGGCAGCATCTGCATTTCGCTTTGAAGCAGCGGAGCAGCCAGGGAACTCCTGCTCCACGGCACATCAAAGGGATTTCAGCCTCAGTATGCAAAGAATGGAACTCATTTAAGTCAGACTCTGCTAAAAAGGAGAAATCCCCCTGAATTTCTCTTAAGAAAGGAGTCCCAGCGTTGCAGCTGTTGCTTCTGGAGAGCATGGAGCTCACCTGCCCACAGCGTGCAGGGAAGAGATCCCAAATATTTTATACAGAGCAGCAGAAGGTTTATTCCCTGGTCAAGTATCAGGTTGTGACATTCTCTGCCTCTGTGGGTTTTCCTACAGTTTCCATCTGCTGCAAAATGCCTTTCCTTCTTTAATCCAAGTGCTTTCCTAGTTCAAAGCCACAACTAAAGGATGACCTCCCATCTATTCTGGGGATTCCTTTGAAGTGCTACAGAAGCGAACACTGCACATCATCCACCTGGGAGGACCCCAAGGATTCTCTGGGACGAAATGGGCTGTGCAGATCTACTATCTGCACACTGGTAAACGTTCACCTGCTCGTGTCTTTCCCACTTTCCTGCCAGCTTTGATGCAGGTGACACGCTGCATCCTCCTCTGAAAGCCAGCAATGCCACAGGTTAGCAGTTAACTGCTGTTTCCAACCCAAATCCAGTTGCAAGGCTAAACTGGGAACAGACGCAGCCGCCTCAGGTATCCTCTTGCAGTTAAGGAGTTGAGCTATTGCCCTCACCTCAACACTGACACAGGGTGACCACAGCACTGAATTTAACCCCCACTCCAGGTTCCTCATGACAGACACCCTGAACACCCCTGTGCAAAGCTGCGTCAACCACAAGCCCGAAGAGACAACTCCCAAGTCCTCCTCGCTCACTCCCCGCCATCTCTCCGTACCTGAGCCCGAGCCGGAGGTGGAGAGATCGTAGACCAGATCTTGCAAGGTCTTATCCTTGGAAAGGCACATTTCACAGGAGGGGTCCTCCATGTCGAGCCGCTGGCGGTTGTGGTAGACTCGCTGGTGGTGATGGAACACAAAGACCACGATGATCATGACGACAAAGACGAGGAACACGGGCCCGGCGATCACTGCCACCAGCTCCACGGGACCCCAGCTCGACGGGGGCTCGTTGTCCTTCAGGTGCCCTTGGGAGGAGAGGGAGGAAAAGAACAGACGCTTTGAGGGAATTATCACTCCACTGAGGGCTTCCTTCTGGTGTTTTAATTATTCTCTGGGAGCCTGGACAATTTTAGCTCACTGTTCCAGGATGGCAGAGGACGCATCGAGTAACAGCGTTAACACGGGGCGGATGGAGTCACCAGGCAGGTAAAATGCAGGTGGAACCCCCAAAAGAAAATGGGCCTGCAATTGTGGGAGCAGGGATTATGGGTAGCCTGTTCTGGGCTGAACCTTCCAGAACAATCTGCAGTTCACCTCCCACTTGAACTCAAGCAGCCAGTCAGGGCTCACTGCTCCTCCGCTGCCCTTTGCCCTGTAACAGCTAATGAACTTGCACCTGAAGACAACAATTAAATTTTTGTCATTTTGAGCCCAAATAAGACCTCCTTGGAGTCCTGGAAAGGAAGCAACTCCAGCTCAGGGCAGGTTGTGCCCGGGGAACAGGCACATTCCCTTTTTAATTTGAAGCAGTTTGTTATTTCCACTTTACAGATGAAGGAAACAAACCCAGCGCTCAAGCTCACGCATCAGCCGACAGGAACAAGCGAAAACAGGGCCGAGAGCTCCGAATTCCCAATCCCAAACAGACAGCTCCTCTCCTCCCCACTTCAAACACGTGATTTATCCCGCTCTCCACTCACCGCTGGGAACCATTAAATCAATTTTGTTGCAAAAATCGGAGTAGCAGCAGTGAGTGTTCCGCAGATCCTCTGAACTCAGGCAGTAGAAGGGCTTCCCGGCAGGAATCAGCTTTGCCTCGGGAATGCAGGTCCGAACGTGGTGTTTGACCCCGTCCAGGTTGAAGACCGAGACCATGCAGGCGCCGTCCGTCTCGCAGGTGGAGTTGGCTTGTTTGCAGTCGGAGCACAGACATGTCAGAGCTGAAACCAAAACGAGACCAAGCCCTGAAAACCCACCGGGAGCGAAAGCGCGAACGGGAGGAAACCTTCTTCAAAGTCCCCGTTCTCAGCCTCTGGAAGAACCGGCTTCAAGCACAGCACAAGGCACGCTCAGGACCTCAGACCTGCAAGAACCCAATTTCAGCACCAAACCCAGCGTGGAGGCAGAGGAGCCCTTCCAGGAGGTGCCTGCCCCCGTCGCAACCACCGCCAGCCGTGCCTCGAGTCCCCCCTGCAAACCGGGCGAGATCCGACCCAGATCCACTCCCAGTCCAGCCTCGGACCAGGCTCAAACTGAACACAACAACTGCCCACGCTGAGGGATGCGATTCCTCCAGACTGGCTGTCCAGGCTCCAGGAGGAGCTGCCTGATCCGGGCTGGCGAGGGGCGGCCACCGCGGCTCCCGGGAGCAGCTGGCAGATGCCAAACCAAACCCAGCCCCGACCGACCGCACGAGCCGAGCGTGCTACACCCAGCTACATCAGCCACTTATTTAGCAACTGCCTTCCTGAGCCGAGACACTACCTAGGGTCAAATAAATTCCTGGCTTTTTGCCCGCTCTCCACGAAGATTATTCGGGTAAAAGAGAGAAGGAGAAACTCTCCGAGGCAGATTCCCACATTTTTTCCGCCTCCCAGCTGTCGTCGTGCTTTTCTCAAGCTGCCTGAAAAACTGTAAGCAAATCCCCAGGCCCTGCCATCCTTGGGAACAAAGAGGAATCCAACAATGTCAAGAAGAAGAAGAAGGGTGGGGCTTGTTTAGCAGCACGCCGGGGTTTTCTCCAGCTTTCATCAGCTCTCCCAGCCTCCCCGGAGGGAAGCTGAGACATGTCCTTACCCGCTGCAGAAATGGGCTTTTGGGGAGGGAGGGTTTCAAGAAGGGTTTTAAAAGATACCAGAGCCACAGCTGACTCTCCCCAGGCACGACAGAGCCACCCTCGACACTCGTGTTTGGGGCCACGTTACCTTCAGCTTAGCAAGAAACAAGCCGGTCCTGATTTACTCGGGGGTTCGTTGAGGAGGAAGACACCCATTAGCCCTCATCCCAGAGTCCTGGGTAAATCAATCAGGCTAATTGCATTACTATTCACTTAATTCTCCCTGGACGCTGCTGCTGGTTTTCCAGCTGTTGTTGTGAACTGTTCCAGACGAGCTCAATGCGGGTGCTGGGGAGTTCGGAACCAACTGCAGTGAAAAGCCTGTGACCAGCGACAGGACCTGAGGGAACGGCTGGAGCTGTGTCAGGAGAGGTTTAGGATGGATCCCAGGAAAAGGTGCTTCCCCCAGAGGGTGGCTGGGCACTGAACAGGCTCCCCAGGAGGCCCAAGGCTGCCAGAGCTCCAGGAGGGTTTGGATGATCCTCTGGAGCACGGGGTGGCATTTTGGGCAGGGCTGAGGGTTGGGCTGGATGGTCCTCGTGGGTCCCTTCCTACTCCAGACATTCCATGAGTCTACAAATCTATGGTTAAAACCCAGAAGGGCTGTTGAGTGAGACACCTTTATGAGCAAATGTCACTACCACAGGCCAAGGAAAAGGCACAGGGGACAGAAGATGGACAGGGACACCCTTCAGACTGAGCCATGGTGAGAGGGGTGCAGAGCACCCATGGATTCAGCAGATTCCATGACGAAGCTTAATCACAACAGGAAAAGACCCCTCCACTGCCGTTCACCTCAAAGAGCCCTGAGATCAGAGTTTCTCTGTGGCCAGCAGAGCACGGAGAAGACGCTTCTGAAAAATGCAAACACTTGGGGGAACAAAGGTTGGTGATAAAGGAGATTTTGTGAAAACCTGAGACGGCAAAGAGCAGCCAGGGCACATTCCTGCCTTCATGTCTTACTTAAAAGGAAATGGTGTTTTAAAGCATCTCCCTTATTACTTATCAAAACCTCGAGGTACAAATTAAAAACATTTAACCCACACACATTTCACCACGTAGGTTCTTTTCAGTCTGATTTAGATACAACAGCACTGAACTTTGTTCCTGTTAGACTCATTTCTGAGGTCTCAATCCCAAGATTTAGGCTGTGGCAGTTTTTTCGCTTCCAGAAGCTCCCAAGTAAACAAAGCGCTTCAATGCCCTAATAAAACTGGTTTTGTAAACGTCTGAGTGAAGTATCTGGCCTGAAACCCAGCATCCCTTTGAGAGGGAAAGCAGAGGAGCTGGTTGTGTCTGCTCAGTTTCATTTGCAGGATTAAAAAATTTAAAAAAAAAAAAAAAAATCAGTTTACCTGCAAGGTACGATACCAGAGACAGAGCGAGATCCTTATCTGTTCTGTGCAGAAAGCCAAAATTTCCTGCTAAGGAGGGGGATGCCCCACGGCCTCCTCTCACCCCATTCCCCCTCTGAGACAGCTGCTCTTTTTTAATTTCCACTCGCCTGCTGGCACCTCAAAAATCCCCCCGGTGGGAACAAAGAGAACGGAGCCTTCAGCACACACGTTTTGCGCTCCTTTACAATCCTCATCGGCGACCCTCAGGGGGCTTTCCAGACACTCCTGGCCAGGACCTGCGGGCTGCAGGCAGGAACTCTCCGGTTCTCTGTGTGTGCCAGGGAGGAAAGGCCTGTCTGCACCGGGAAGCTCCCGGCAAAGAGCAGAATTACAGGGCAACCCGTGCAGGCCCAGCAGCTCCAGCCCGATGAGCCAGGAGGAAAAATTCCTCTCCCATCAGTAACACCAGAAGCACCAGGCAGTTGTTTGCCCTTGGGTGGGGGTCAGGAGAGGGCCAGGGAAGCAGAGCCCCCCCCCACCAGGTATCTCTTGGGTGCTCTGGGAGCAGCCAGGGCGAAGCAGGAGGAGACAGGAGCGGGATAAAAGGATTTTTCGTGCCAACAGCACTCTTTTTTTTCCTTCGGGAAGAAAAGCTCCCATTGAGCAAAACACATAATCTACTTAATAAAAGAAACTGCCTGGGCTGAAGGAAAAGAGATGGGGTGAAGGAAAACAAGGAGTAGTTCCCAGGGCCGGGGTGGCACATTTTCCCCTCCTGGGGGACAAGCCTGCATGGAGGGTGCGAGTGGAGCTGGAGCAGAGCCTGCTCGATGCGCTCCCCACACGGGCACCCCAGCCCAGCCCAGCCCTTCCCAGACGCTGTTTGAACAAGCCCAGAGTGGAGCTGCAGGTCCTGGGGAAGAGGCTTTGTTCTCCTGGGGGGGGGAACGGAGCGGGTCGGTGTTTACACGGAGCAAACCTCCTCAAAAAACAGAGGGGGTAGCCAGCGCTGCCACAGGAAAAACTCTCCTTGATCCTGGATTATCCCAGCCCAGGACCCGACTCCTCCAAACCCAGGAACTGCCTCTGCTCCCTGTGATGCTCCCAATTCCAGCCCCCAACAGGATCCTGGGGAATGGGGGTGTCCGTGTCCTCTGCCACCAAACCCCCCATCGAAAGCAACCCGTGTTCCCACCAGGGATCCAAACAAACAGCTGTGGGGGGGGAAGGGGGGCCGTGGATTCGAGCTCTGCGCTCCAGGGAGACTCAAACCCAGAGCTCTGACAGGCAAGGAACATTTCTCCTCCTTCCCCAGCAGCTCCCCGAGCTCATTTCTGCGCAGATTTATTCTCGCACGGGGTTTCACGTGTCAAGATGTCTCTGCAGCGAGACAGGGGGGAAAGTTTCACAGCAGAAACCCTCCTGCAGTGGCGGCAACCACCTTTTGGAATGCATTTGCCAGCCTCTCCCGAAGCACACACAGCAAGCGAGCTGCCATCTTCTCGGGGTTGAACTCCACCTGATCAAGATGTATGAAGATAATTAACCTGAAGAGGATTATTGGTAAAATTGCCAATAGCCACCCACGTCTTTACCAGATAAACAGATTTTTTTTTTTTTGGAGGTGATTGGAGCTGCTGTTCTTTTTCAACAGTTCCGAGTCGAGGCTGGAAGAACGACTCCCCTGACTTTGAGCCTTTCCAAGGCTCTGCAACAGGCGCTGCAATTTATTGTGCCTCTGTGCAGCACCAAACTTAATGAGCCCCACTCTGGGAGTGCTGGTTTCGTGCTGCAGCAGCACAATGTTAGCAAGAGAAATGGGAAACAATTGGCTTTGTAGCTCTGCTGCTTCTTCAGATGCTCTAATGAAGAGGGACGTGTGTAAACACGCTTGGAAAACAGAAATATCTGTCAGTGTTTGGCTCTATGCTGTGCTGAAATAAAGAATAACCTTTATCACACAGGGTTAGGAATAAAATCCGTTCCCTCGTGGTGAGGGAGCAGAGGTGTATCCAGCAGTCCCTTTGTGCTCCTTGTTCAGCTGCACCACCCCAGGAACAGCACCCCAAGAAAACAACCAGCTCCCTTTCCAAAAATCTGGGCTGAGGGCAGGCTGGGCCATCTGAT